CGATACAATCTCACACATTCACTTCTGTGCTCGTCCACACTCACGCACGCATACCCACATAACTTCCACACACACTGCCAAACTCACTCACACGCCCACACACTCATACACTTACGTACAAACAACAAACATACTCGCACTATGACAAACACACACACACTCAGACTCATGCACACATACTTATACACACTCCCACTTCCATACAAACACACTCACACTTACATACAATTATGTGCGAACACACTTATGTTCAAGCATACGTGCACTCACTTTCACACATACACATCCACTTACATATGTACTCTTAAACTCACACACACAGTATTGTCAGTTCCCAGCACCCACCATGAGGAATGTGGTGGTCAGTTAGAATCCTGCCCCCCAGAGCCCAGAGTCTACCCAGGATGCAGCAACCTCCAGCAGAGAGGAGCCCCTTGTCTAAGCTGCAGTGCCTGCCTCCTGGCGCTCGGAGCGCCTTCCACGTCTGCACCGCTTGCTGACTTGGCACTCCAGCCTGGGCTCATTTTGAGCAATGCTGCGCTTTGTCTGAAGATCCCTGGTGGTGCAGTGGGTTAAGTGTGGGGCAGCTAAATGCAAAGTTGGAGATCAGTGAGGCTGTCTGCTTCCGTGAAGAGACACTGAGTTGGAATTGACTCAACGGCAGTGGTTTTGGGTGCACCTTGCCCACCACTAATCCAGGTGAGCCTCCCTAAGTACTTGGAGTTTTATACAAACACAAATTCAAGTTGCCTGCCCGTGGAGTCTTTAGTCATGCAGGGTAATCGGAGTGAAAACCTTCAGGAGCTCACACAAAGAATGAGTAATTTAGATGAATGGCACAGGCTCCACAGGTAGGAGGGGAAGGTGAACACATTTTGGCTCAGTAGGTCACCTTTCCAATAATAGGAGCCATTCAGTGATTGATAGGCCCTGTCAGCGGCTAGGTCTTGGCCATCAGCACAGAGACACTGATGAGAACATGCAATGACCTCGAAGGCTGCTCTGGTCTGTACCCGTGACCTTGGGCAAGTCACTTCTCACTTTGGAGGTTCTGTGTCTAAGAGTCTCCGAGGGGTCTGGATGAGCTGTTAGTTCTAGAATTCTCTGAATCTGCAGACAGGAATTGTATGAAGGAGTAGGGGGACACTTGGAAGGAGCTACAGAAGTAATTAGTGATGGAAAATGCAAATCTCTAGCTGCCTCTGGATGTCTGCGTTTGCAGATTAAAACAAGACTGAATCTTGGCTGTGTAATCCATTCCCCCCACAAAGCAAAACCGCAATAATAGGACGTTGGAAAAAGCTGGTCTCAGTTGGAGAGCAAGAAGCAAGAGGCCAGGTTCTGGATTGGGTGGCCAGCATGTGCTTATCATTTCGCCTCCCTAGACTTTGGATATTTTGTTTTCTCAATGAGGATAAGGGCATCCTTTCGAAGGGTTAGCACGTGTGACTATCCCTCATCTTCGGTTTGGGCTGGAGATCATTGATGAAAACAGGTGTGAATCCAGGCTCCCGCTCTTACTTCCTGTGTGATCTTAGAAAACTTAAATTTAACTCTGAGTCTCTGTTTTCTCATCTGCAAAGTGGGCGAATAGTAGCACCTATCTCTAGAGCTGGACTCCTGGTGTGGTGCTGTAGGATAAACACCGACTTCGAACCAAAATGTCAGCAATTCAAACCCACCGGTAACTCCTCAGAAATCCTGTCTGGATCGCTATGAGTTGGAATTGACTCCATGGTATTTAATAACAACATCTCTAGAATTGGTGAAGGACAAATGAGCCAAGGCACATAAAATTCTTTTCACATAAATTCACTCAACACTGGGTACAGCACAAATGACATGGAACCCTAGAAACCTCACAGTGGTCTAGGCCAAACCTAACTTGTGACCCTTTTTCTCTTACTGAAGGGTGCCGAAGGGTGGATGCTAAAGGGTTCTCTACATGGACTCTTGGCTCAGCTTGGGTGTCGGTGTGGTGCTAATAGTTTGAAGGCAGGGTGGTGGGTGGCTCCCTAGCTGAAGGGATTTGAGGGAAGGCGGACAGAGTCCTCTGTTTGTCATTGTGGTTGTTGTTAGCAGCTGTTGAGTCAGCCCTGAGCCATGCACAGTGGAATGGAACACTGCCATCCCCATGATTTGTGGCAGACACACCCTTGTGATCTACGGGGTTTGCTTTGGCTGGTTTTTAGAAGCAGATCGCCAGGTCTTTCTTCCTAGTCTTTCTGAAACCTGTTCAACATGCAAGTCCCCCCTGGCAGATGTGTAGTGGCTGCACCTGTGATGCTCTGGCTGGGAATTGAACTCAGGTCTCTTGCATTGTTGTTGTTGTTAAGTGCTGTCAAGTTGACTCGGACTCCTAGTGACCTTGTATAGGGTTTCTAAGAAGTGGCTGGTGGTTTAAACTGCTGATTCTGTGATCAGTAGTCTGGTGTCTATCCTAAAGCGCTACACCAGGACCCTAGGTCTCCTGCAAGTTGTTGTTGTTAAATGTCATCGAGTCAGTTCTGACTCATAGCAGCCCTGTATAGGGCTTCCAAGGAGCATCTGGTGAGCTTGAACCGCTGAACTTGCAGTTTAAAGTGACCTTGTAGTCCTACACATTAGCCTGCAGCGCCACACCAGGACTCCTGCATAGAAGGTAAAAATCCCACCATGCACAGAACCACCGCGGCCCCCATCTGATTATTATGGGTATCATAAATTCTTCCATGTCAGCATTTACTCCTTGGGCCCTTGGAAACTCTTTTAAATCATAAGGATCAACTTGAATGGCTTCCCCTCTTCATACTCTGGCCCCTCACTTTTCAATGGTCTCTCATAGGTCCCCAGGAATGACATTGGTGTGGTCCTTAGACATCAAAGATGTCTGTCCCCTCTCTCATATACAATCCAAGTTTATTTGGGAACTAGGTCTATCTGAGGGCCTGCTGCACCTAGGAGAGGCTGGGGGGTCAGCCACAGCACCTAAAATTGGAGATAAAACACCCCAATCAATTTTTCTGAAATGAAAGAACTTCTTCTAAAACTGGCATCAATAGTTGAGTCTTCATAATAGCTATTCTTTATACATTTTCCTGGCAAATGACTTATTTGGAGGACTGAAGAAATTCCCAATGGCCAGAGGGAAGTTATGAAGATGAAGACCTGCATTTTGCATCATGAGAATTTTACTAATATGCTACTATTTTAAGCCACCATACGAATATCCTTTGTATTGATTTCAGTGTGATGTACCGACTGAATAAACATGCCAATTTCTGCCAGTGAGCCAAACAGTATTTTTAACCTACTTTAAAATATGTGTTGTTTCCTATGGTTTTTTAAAGTTTTGAGTCGACTATCAAAGCGTTTTCAATTTTTAAAAATTCTTCTTTTCAGAGAATATCCATATACATTTTAAACAGCTACATATAAAGCTGAATGGGGTGGGTCGTTATTTTTTAAAGTTATAAACAAAAGTGAAAAAAAATGTGGCATGGTTCTCTTTCTAATGTGGACTGCTAACCACAAGGTTGGCAGTTGAAACCCACCGGCTGCTCCTTGGAAACCTTATAAAGGGTCACTATGAGTTGGAACCAACTTACTGGCACACAACAACACTAATATACCATTCTATTGTAAAACCACCACCACGATGAATGGGGTTATAAAACACAAGGAATTTGAGTTCACAATTCTTTGGATATGCAACCGAAGTATATTTGGAATGTTTTTTGGTTTCTTATTCCTGGTTGTTGTTGTTAAGTACTGTGGAGTCGGTTCCAACCCATAGCGACCCTGTACAGGGTTTCTGAGGCTGTAAATCTTTATGGGAGTAGAAAGCCTCATCTTTCTCCCGCGGAGCAGCTGGTAGTTTCGAGCCCGCTGACCTTAAGGTTCGCAGCCTGATTTGTAACCACTATGCTACCAGAGCCCTATGTATCCTGTTAAGTGTGTAACATAGTGAACTTCATCATGTTTGTACCAGAAGCTCCTGTGTCTTCAAAAATTAAGGAAAAACTAAAACAGACAGCTGAAACATTTCATGAATTTTGGTTCATGAGATCCTCAGGATAATAGTGATACTACCATCATTTTATGGGAGCCATTGGGTAGAACAAACAATTAATCTGCTTTGCCACTAATCAAAAAGTTTAAGGCTCAAGTCCACTCAGAGGTGCCGTGTAAGAAAAGCCTGGCAATCCCCTGAAAAACCAGTCCTTGAAAACTCTACAAAGCACAGTTCTATGGAGTCATCCCTAGTTTGTATCATCATTTCACACATGGGGACATTAGGGTGGGAGAAGGCCAAGGGCTTGCTCAAAGACTCAGTTGGTTCTAAATATTTTCTCCCTTGATTTGTCTCTTTCCATTTCTTTAAACTGGAAAAACGTACAGCAAAAAGGCCTGTAGCTCTAAAAATGAGGTAATATTTAAACCTGGTTTGAGCTCTTGTTTGGAAGGGCACAAAGAACAGTGGCAGTGATTAGTGTTATTTGTGATTCAGATGAAATTTCCTGGTGACGGAGCCAACCAACTGCCGATGAGTCAATGCCAACCCCTAGCAATCCTATATGGCAGAGTGGAACTGGCCCATAGGGGTCCAAGGCTGTAACGTTTAATGGAAGCGGACTGCCGCACTTTCTCCCTTGGGGCAGCCAGTGGGTTCATCACTGACCTTTTGGTTGACACAACCAAGGCTCCTAGGTTATAGAGAGAAATACAAAATTGCCATCTAGTAAAATGATAACAGTTATTGCCATCAGTTTGTGGAGCAAGAGTCCTTTAGAAGTACTTAGGCGAGAAAATGAGCCAGACCTAAGAGTGGGATCAGAGAATCACAGAACCCCAACATTTCTAGAGACCTTGGTCATCTAAGCCAACCGTGAGTGACAGGGAACTCCATGGACCAGGGAAGTCCTCCTTCTTCATTTTGAGTGTAAACCTAATGAGAAAGTATGGGACCTTTAGACTATCCCCTTCCTCCTCATCCTGACGACCCGAGAAACAGGGGTTACCTGAAGTTGTAGCCTGGGGAGACACTGCTCTTCTGAGAAACACCATCAAGCCGAGTGAAGGTGTACTTGGGAATGCATTGGTCCGAGGCCTTGTCCAAGTCACACACCCAGCCGATCTTGATGCCCAGAACTCCGCCCTGGAAATCATAGCAGATATGAGCTCTCCCCCAGCGCTCTGACCCATGGTCCTCAGCAGGGCAGGGGTATGGGGTGGGGTGGTGGGGACCATGAAGATTGATTTCTCTTTATTTCCTAGGTGGAGAACTGCATTAGGAAGAAAGACAAGTGATTTGTCACATGGTGCTAAGAGAAAAAGTCCGGTTATTTTCAGCCCTTTCAACTCACTGTCTGTAAAACAGGAGGCAGAACCACAGATCCACTTGACCATCGTCTGGGTATCTTCAGAAATAAAAGGTTTCTCCTTGCAGGGGAAGAGTGAAGGTGGGAATGGAACCTGAGGCTTGGGGGACAGGGGTGGGAGAAGCAAGACCACTTAGGGTAGTGGTTGATACAAAGGACTCAGGCACAAAGCCAGTTGCTTTGATTCCACCAGGTGGCGCTGTCTGTGCCCCGCACCAGAATTCCAGCCAGGGACGTTTAGGAGCCCGTGGAAGAGGGGCAGTGTGCTCACCGTGCTAGCTAGTTTGGCAAAATCCTGCCCTGCAAACTGGACCACGTCTCCAACCCGCAAGATGGGGCAGAAGGGGGCTTTGTCAGGGTGGAAACGGCATGTCTTCAGATCAGTGGCTGTCAAGTTGGGAAGGAGGTTTCCCCTGGGGACAGAAGCAAGGCCCAGGGTTAACATGGAGCCAAAAGACAAAGACAAACAAAAGCAGGTGCCATGGAACAGATTCTGATTCACTGTGACCCCATGCCTGTGGAGTGGGTTTTCATGGGTGTCAGCTTTCCAAAGCAGGTCACCAAGACTTTCTTCCAAGGCGTCTCTAGGGGGAGAGTCCAACCACCAACTTTCTGCTTCACCCAAACCGGCCCCCCCCCAAAAAAAGACCCCAAATCCATTGTTCTCATGGTAATCCCATTTTGCAGAGTAGAACTGCTCCATAGGGTTTTCCTGGCTGTAATCTTTATATAAATGACTCCTGGGTTCAGTTGCAAGGTTGGAGGTTCAAACGCACCAGTCACTCTGTGGGAGAAAGATGAATCTGTGGTAAAGATTCAGAGTCTTGAAAACCCAAAGGAACGGTTCTACTCTGTCCTATAGGGTTTGCGGTACCTTGAAATACTTGATCTGGTTTTTCTATCCAGTGTCTTCTTCTTTTCCACCAAATGATTGAATGTGGTCATGCAAATAGGGTGTATTGGACTCTAACACTGGGATTGGTTAATTTTGCCATCCTGCTAGGTTTAAAAGGTGCCATCTGAGAAACAGGAATAGACAATCCCAGGACAATCAAGAAAGAGCATGAGTGGACCTAGAAAAGTGGCAACAGCAGAGATGAGGGTGTGGAGAGACAGAGCAGCTGCGGGCTTCTAGGTTCATGGACTGAGTAAACCTGAGTGCCTACGGGCAGGAGACTAACTTGCAGAATGTGCCCTTTGGGTATTTACAGACAGGATAAAGGGTCTTTGTAACACTTGCCAGAGCAGGGCAAAGGCAGAGGGGCCACACAGCTAAGAGACCAAAGACAAGAGCGAGGTGTGCCTGCAGTGTGGCAGAGAAAAGGCCTTCCTGATGGGAAAATTGCATCCTGAGTTGGTTTTGATCCTGATTTGTACCCTATTCACTTCCATAATAAATCCCATTGTTGTTGTTGTTACGTGTTGTCCAGTCGGTTCCGACTTATAGACACCCTGTATAAGATATTCGAAGAGCAGCTGGTGAGCTTCAACTGCCCATCCTGAGGTTCAAACCGATTTTGCAATCCAGCCCATTAACCCACAGTGCCACACCAGGATTCCTATAAGCCCTGTAATTGCTGACTATTGTTGAGTTCTGTGTGACCATTGCAATGGATTATGGAACCCCGATGTGAAGCTGAGAGTGCTGTAAGAGGGCTGGCTGATGTCAAAATAGCATAAAGAAGGTTGTAGAGTGGAGGCATGTCTGACCTCTGCTTCATAGGCATCTGCCTTGGGCTGGTTTTGAGTTTGATTCTCCTTCCCCCTTATAAATTAGAGGAAGTCAGACATGGTCCCCACACAATTATTGCAGGCCATTATGAGTCTGAATCGATCCAACAGCAGAGAGGGAATCCTTATGTGGAAACAGATAGCCAGGCATTTCTTCTGGGCATCAATGGGTAGGTTTGAGCTGCCAACTTTATGGTTAGTAAACCCACTGCTTTCAAGTTGGTTCTGACTCAGATCAACCTCGTATAGGGTTTCCAAGACTCTACATTTTTACAGAAGAATAAAACTTCATTTTTCTCCCTTGGAGCAGCTGATGGGTTTGCAGTTCTGAGGGTGCAATTAGTAGTCAAGTGCAAACCCTCTGTGCCACCAGAGACCTCTTTCACTGCCTTCACCAGGGACTCCTAATGTGAAGACAGCCCAGGCACAACTTTTTCTCTGGAGCCCTGGGCAGGGGGATCTGTGCCCTGACCGCTTTCGGGGCACCACCCTCTCCCTCATTCTAGGGCTGGCTCCTGGCACATTCCTGATCCCTCTTGGTACCTCTGTGGTGCCTGGAGCTGTCACAGGGAGCTGGTGAATAACTAACTAAGCCAATGAAGGAACACCACATGCATGCTTGATGTGGGGAAAAGTGGGATGGGCCTCTCAGGGCCCAGCATCTGAAGGTGTCCTTGTCCTATCCTACATCAAACTCCCAAATTTGGGGTTCGAATTCCAAGTCAGGTAATCTGGCAGAGAAGTTGGCCCCAAGTATTTAGGGATCAAAGTGGATTTTGAGAGTGGGAACAGGCCCCCCCTCAGGGGGTAGAGGAGGGAGAAGTGGGGAGGACATTGGGGTTGGGGCCACTCTTCTAAGAGAGGAGGTGGGAGGTGGTACTTGACTTTAGGGAGGGAGCTAGGACTCACTTCTCAAAGTTGAAGAGAGGGAAACGGATGCTGTTCTTGATGAAAATAGTGAAGTTCTCAGCTTCCGTCATGACAGGTCTGTGGGTGAGAGCAGACAGCCTCAGTTTGTTTGGAAGAAAGGGGAGCTGGGAGCTTTCACGGTACCCGTGTCTCAAATACATAAAGGGTCCCAGAGAACCGAATGGGAGGGCCGGAGGGAGCGAGGGTGGTGCATGAGGATCCTCGGAGCGTCTGCCCTCTCCTTACGTTTCCACGGTGTCCACCTCGGTGGGGCACCAGCCCTGTATCTCACAGGTGCGGAGCTCCGAGCTGTAGTTCACGCAGCGGCCAGTGAGGATTCCTGTGAGGGCAGACCACAGGGCTGTGGGGCTGCCTCCCCCTTCGCCATTTCTTCCTCACCCCTTCCCCTTCATCATCAGTCTTCTCTCCCCTCCACGACCCCTCCCTCCGCCCCTGCCCCCCACCCAGGAACCCGGCTGGTGGTGGGAGGGACAGTCTGGGCGAGGCAGCTGAGCTGCTGTGGCCCTTTCACCCCGCAGAGGGCGCTCTCTCGGTCCGTTCCTCGAGAGCCCTCACCCCCTTAACACACTCCAAGGTCCACCCCCCCACCCCCCCCCGCCCCAATATCACAATCGCAGTGTGCTCTACCTAGCCTCTGAACCTTTGCTGTGGCTGTTCCTTCTGCCTGGATCGCCCGCTTCTTGCTAAACCCCGCCCACTCACCCGGCTCAAGCAAATCTGGTGAAAACAAATTTTTCCCTCCCCCAGGCGCTCACAGATCACTTCTTAGTCCCGTCTGTCACTTCCACCCTAGACTGGAAGCTCTGTGACAGGACCATGCCCCCTCTGCAGCCCTCCCCCGCTGGCACTGGTACCCAGCGGGCATCCACAACAGATAGTGAGTCCCTCCTAAGCATGAGCCCCCCTGGGGGGTTGCAGCCCTTTAGGTCCCCCCTCCACCCCGTTTAACACTGGGGGGGGAGGGGGCGATGCACTCACCTCCACTCGCAAAGCGCTCAGGCTGGCACTGACTGTCCGTTACACAGCGGAACTTCTCCTCGCTCTGGGGAGAGAGGGGGGACAGGTCCGTAGGTGGGTGTAGAACTGCCACCTGACATGGGAGCAGAGGTCCAGGATCACCAGCTACTGCTCACATCCACACCTCTCCCTGCCCCCCACACCTGCCAAAATTTCTTCCTTGACCTGCTTCATCCAAGCTCCCGCCTGCCGCTCACCTCTGGGCAGACGCCTTGCATCTGGTTTTCAGTAAAAATCACCTTGGTGATGATGACAAAGACAGAAGTGCCCTTGGGAGGGGACAATAGGAGGCAGAACAAACACATTAACCCCAATCAGTGAGGCAGGTACTCTGATTATCCCCATTCCACAGACAGAGAAACTGAGACAAGTGACAGCACCAAGGTCACAGGGCTGGGCCCCAAACCATATGACCTCTCTCACTCCCTTAAGGCCAGGTGGGTGATTACAGTGGGGTTGTCCAATACTGCATTCCGGAGGGCAGACCCAGTTCCCCCATGTCTCCCCACTGCTGGTGTCCCATTGGAATGCCCTATCTTGCCCGCTCCCCTTCTACCCACGGGGATGGGGGTGGGGAACGTACCTGAGGTGGGGTCACATAATCAGAAACGTCCATGATTCTGTTGGCATAGCGTCCAAAACCTTTCACCTTGGTGACCACAGAGGACTCAATGGCTGTGTCCCGCACTTGGTATGCCTTCTCATGCAAGAAAACCCACCTGAGCAGGTGCAGAGAAAGGGAGAGAGTCTACAGACCCCTCAGACAGGACAACTCAGGTATGCCTGAGAGTAGGGCGGGGTTGCTTGGGCCATCTCAGCTAACTCTGCGTTAGTTTAGAGCACTGTCTCCCCTCCCCACTCCATGACTGACCCCTCCAGAGACCTTTTCAGACTTTTTTTTTTTTTGTCTAATCATCCTTCCCTTCGTGAAATTTTACCTCCTCAGATAGCTGTTAAGCGGCATAAACCATTTGCGCTTGGAGTCCTGGGGTGACACTGGACTGCTAATCTGTAAAGTCAGTGGATCATACCCATTAGCTGCTCCTCAGAAACCCTATACAGGGTCGGATGAGTCAGAACTGACTCAATGACACTTAACAACAACATCTAACCTAAAATGCCCTGGTGGTACAATGGGTAAGTGCTCATCTGTGAACTGAAAGGTGGGCAGTTTGAACACACTGCTCTCTTCATGAATCTGCTCTTATCAATATTACCGCCTTGGTTCTACTCTACCCTGTTGTTTGGTTGTTGTTACGGTGCCGTCAAGTCGGTTCCGACTCATAGTGCCCACATGCATAACAGAATGCAACACTGCTGAGTCCTGAGTCATCCTCACAATTGTTACGTTTGAGCCCCTTGCTGCGGCCACTGTGTCAGTCCATCTCGCTGACCCTTCATTTCACCAAGCATCTGCTTTCATAAAGATTACAACCAAAACAACCCTATGAATCAGTTCTACATGGAATTGTCATGGGTCAGAATCAACTTGATGAAAACAGTTTTGAATTTTTTTCCCTGTGCTCATATCTGCGCTTTGTACATTAAAATAGGAGATATATTTCACTCCCAGTATCAGCAGTCAGCCATAAGGTTGGTTTGAGATCCACATGATCAGTGTTTCAAACTCACCAGTCACTCCTCAGAACCCCTACACCATTTTCATCCCTTTAGTGCAATATGGACTCCTGGCATGGTGCTGCGAATCAGCATTGGACTGTGAACAGCGAGATCAGAGGTTCAAACCCACCAGCTGCTCGTCAGAAACACTATACAAGATCTCTGAGAGGTGCAAATCGTTAGTGTGCTCAGCAGCAGGAAAAAAGCTATAAGTTTGAGACCACTACTTAGAGGTGCTTTGGGGAAAAGGCCTGATGATCTATTTCTAAAAACCCAGCCCTGACCTGTACCACTACAATTCTACCCTTACATACATGAACAGGTCATCTTGGGTATGAAGGGAAGTGATGGTATTACTTCTGTGGAGAACAACTTAGGGCTCAGAGTCACTCCTGGCTACCAGTGGAGGCCATCTCTCTCTTGGCAAGCAGGGGCAGGGGAGCCTACACATCCCTCTTCGGCACCATGTATCCCAGGCTTTCTGTATGGTCGATCCTAGGAGGCCATTGTAGGTGTTCAGTAAAACATGGACTGAATATTCTGAGTCAATTAAAGCATTTGGGACCTGGGTGCTGGGGAAGGATAGACGAGGAAGGGAGGCGGGCAGGTCTTCACCAAGTAGGTGAAAGGAGTTAGGTTGGAGGCGGTCTGTTTTGGGGGAGAGAACAGGGGTGGACACGGGCGCCAGAGGCCCTAACCACCATCCTCATTTCTTGGAGTGTGCTGCCACCCAGTGGACATTTACCTATACTGACGTCTCCCCACAGCTTGCTGTGAATGAGAGGTCGCCCTCCGCGCTGTTTCCATCTCTGGATTTTCCCAACCTTCCCAGCAGCAGTGCCGGATTACCCAATAAGCAAGGTAAGCACGGGCTTACTTGTGTTTACCCATCTGTAGTGAACAATTCCACATTTTTTCACCACATCAAAGATGCTGCTTTTAAATCTGGCTGATACTTCACCTCCCTACAGAATTAAAGCCTCTTTTCAAATTTACAACCCCTGACAGGGAGAACCCAGTAAGCAAGGTAAGCACAGGCTTACTTACTAATATATAGAGAACAGTTTACCATCTGAGAGATTAGTAAGCACAAGTAAACCGGTGCTTACGTTGCTTACTGGGTAATCCACCCGTGCCCTGCAGCAGGAAGGCCCTGCAGACACTGACAGCTCTCGCCTGTATTTCTGAGATGTGTTTGCCCTTTTATCTGAAATCAAGGCTCAAGCCACTCTGCCTCACTTAGCGGTTACTCTATAGCACTTGCAGCCTAAGGCATAGCACCCAAACTGGGATTGCCTTTTTCTCTGACAGCACGCTCAGAGGTATAGATTAGATATCTTTGTTATTAGCTGGCCAGACTCGCAACTATCCTATGCAAACTAGAGCAAACGCTGGCCCGTTCTGTGCTACCTCTGTGATGGGTTTCAGATCGGAATGTCATGATGGGTTGCCATTGACTGATTTCCAATATTAGCTTGCCTGACCTTTCTTCCTAACCTGTCTGTCTAGAAACTTTGCTGAAATCTGTTCAGTGCCATGCTGTTGGTATGTGCCATCGACTTGGTTCTGACTCCTAACAACCCTGTTTAGGGTTTTCGAGGAGCCACTGGTAGGTTTGAACCATCGACTTTGCAGTTAGTAGTACGGTGCTTATCCTACACACCAAGATTCTGCTCGGCATCATGCGGTGGTGGTTGTGTGCCATGGAGTTGGTTCCGACTCATAGCAATCCTGTATAGGTTTTCTGAGGCTGTAAATCTTTATAGGAGCAGAAAACCTCATCTGCTAGATTTGAACTGCTGACTTTTCAGTTAGCAGCCCAATGTGTAACCACTACACTCTCAGCTGCCGTCAAATCCAGTTTTGACACATATTGACTCGATAGGACAGACTATAACTGGCCCATAGGGTTCCCAGGGCTGTCATTTTGATGAGGGTAGATCACTAGCTCTTTTCTCCTGTGGAGGGAGCTGCTGCTGCTGGGATCAAACTGCCGACCTTTTAGTTAGCAGCCAAGGACTTAACACTGTGGGACCAAAGCTCCTTGCACAAAGTGCATCGGCTGCGAACTGAACCTAGGTTTTCCTCAAATCATGTATCGCATTGGATAAATCTGCTGTAAAAGATCTCTTAAAAGCGTTAAAGAATGGGGGCATCACAATTGGAGAAAGACTCATTAACCTGAGATAGGCAGATGACACAATCTTGATTGCTGAAATCTTGAGGCACTTACTGACAAAGATCAAAGAGTACAGCCTTCACTATGGATTACAACTCAATGTAAAGGAAGCCAAAATCCTCTCAACTGCACCAATACACAACATCATGATAAGTGGAGAAAAGATTGAACTTGTTAAGAGTTTCATTTTACTTGGATCCACAATCAATGTACAATGGAAGCCGCAGTCAAGAATTCAAACCACATATTGCATCGAGCCAATCTGCTGTAAAAGACTCCGTTGAAGTTCAAGTTAAAGAGCAAAAATATCAGTTTGAGTACTAAGGTGCACGGGACCCAAACCATGGTATTTCCAATTGCCTCATATACATGCAAAAGTTGGACAATGAATAAGGAAGACTGTAGAAGAACTGATGCATTTGAATTATAGAGTTTGTGAAGAATACTGAAAGTGCCATAAACTGTGAGGAGAACAAATAAATCTATCTTGGAAGAATTATAGCCAGAACGTTCCTTAGATTAGAGAATGGTAAGATATCATCTCAGAAGATCAAGAGGAACCAGTCCCTGAAAAAGGCCATCCCGCTTGGTAAAGTCGGTGGTGGCGATTGTGTGCCATCAAGTCGGTTCTGACTCATGGTGGTTTGTTGTAGTGTGCTGTGGAGTCGGTTCTGACTCATAGTAACCCTGTATAGGTTTCCAAAGCTGTTAATCTTATGGGAGCAGAAAGCCTCATCTTTCTCCCACAGAGAGACTGGTAGCTTCAAACTGCTGACCTTGCGTTTAGCAGCCCAGCTGGTATCTACTACACTACCAGGGTTCAGTGAAAACGAGAAAGACCTTCAACAAGCTGCTTTGACACAGTGACTACAGTAATGGACCCAAACATAGCAGTTGTGAGGGTGGCCCAGGACCAGGCAATGTTTCAGTCTATTGTACACAGGGTCTCTGTGAGTCGACTCTGCAGCAACAAGTCCCTCATGGAAGGCAAGAATTCAATCACTGAACCTCCTGAAATGCTGTTACTGTGCTCATTTTACAGATGAGAAAACTTTATCAAATATCTTTGGGAAATGTTGCATACTCTCTCCCCTGTCTGAAAGACTATATACCATGTGAAGGATAAATCGATAAATAACAGGGTTTCATATAAGTTAGTAACTAAATATATCTGTTACATTTTGTGAACATCGCCACTTCCCACTCTTGTTTGATCATGGAGCCTTGTTTTGGAGAACTGTTTGGTGACAGCATTTAGAATCAAGGAGCCTGCTTTTAGAAATGAAGACTTTGGGTCCTTCCCTGGACCTGCCCAGGGTGGTAAGAGGCTGGAAACCCCAGCAAGTGAGAATGATGAGGAGGAATCGGAGAAGAGGAAGCTGTGTGAGTCCTGGCCCCCGGAGTTGAGGGCTGCACTTGGGCTGAAATGAGGGTTTATAACGAGGCAGCTGGCTAACCACCAGAGTGGTCCACACCATGGCTGCTTTGGGAGGGGGTGGGCGCCAGCCACTTCCCTGGAAAGACTCTGGCTGGTGAGGCCTGGTATCTACCTTTCAGGTCAGCTGAGAGGACTGATTGATCTCTGGGGCCCCCTACTGGTGGAAGCTGCAGGTGGGGGAGCAGTTCCTGGGACCTGCTAGAGTCACCCTGACCGGTGGGAGGGGGTACCACAGACATGTTCAACTGCAAGCAGTGCTGGGTGGCTTGCTGTTTCGTTTTTAGTGAGAGGGTTCGGAGCTATCTCCTTAAGAGGCTTTCCTCCACACCCTTGAATCCTGAACTGCTTTCTTGAGTGGGAAGAGAGGATGGAGTTACAACCAGTGCGTGGCAAATAAATGGCTCCTAACCTGCTACCTGCTTTATTACTGCTGCCTGATAGCAGGCAACATCTCTGTATTTACCGCACCACTAAGAGTTATT